GCTGCTGCTTTATGAGGTGGTGCTGGAGATGTTCGCTGCCTTGAGTTATTTGTAAAATAACAAATAAGGGCAGGATACGGATACACAGAGAAATAGGCCATCTCTGAAAACAACGGCCACAGTTGCTGGTGAGGCGTTTGGAAACCTGTTGCCCAGGACCAGTCACTCAAAGCCCCAGGCGGCCCACCCACCCGCCCCCCGCCAAGGCGTCACCTCAAGACCCCGGGCTGAATGGACTGGGAGGCGAGCTTCTCGAAGAGCCGGATGAGGGGCGGGTGGAGGGGGCTGCTCGCGTCGTGCAGAACTTCTGCGCAGGAGCCGACGAGGCTGCCCAGCAGGCCAGCTGCACAAGCCGCTTGGCGGTTTTTCTCCAAGCCCATCGAGGATTGAATGTGGTTAGCTGCAGCGAACTGGATCTCCAGGGACAACTGAAACAAGCCAAGACAGGGCAAGAAGGAGAGGCCTGAGTGGAGGGCTGGTAACGAGAGGGCAATCAGTAGCCGGCGGCCATAATGAGCACAGAGAAGCCCTGGACCATTGCAGAGATTAGAGTCCAACTTTCTAAACAAAAATTTAAGAGATGGTTTAGGAACCCAGTTAATAAATAACTTTAGAAATAATATAAAATTGCCAAATGCTGCTTACTATTGCGTGCTTTTTCTTAGAGCCATTCATTGCTCCATATTAGATTTTATTGAAATTAGTTGCCTCTTTGTGTGTTATCTCCACTGCACACAAATTTTGCTGGAGAATTTTAGAGTTGCAAACTGGGCTGCTGAATATTTAATTTTTGATTGATATTAGCACACATGTTCATGATCAGAAATTAGAAATAGAGCATCTAAAGTCATTCTGTAGTCACTTTTGTGTATGATATAAATGTATATAAAATACAACAGACAGGAAATTAATTCAAAATTTAAATGAAATGGCTATTGGAAAAAGGCTAAGATAACAAATGTGATCAGATAAATCAAACACAACAACAGAACATGTTCAGAGATGTTTATGTTCAGTGTAATATGCTGTCTCCAAAATTAAGCTAGATAGGTTGGAAATTAAGATTAATTAATTAATTAATAATTAAGTTGCTGGCTGAGAGACTGTGAGTTCTTCTTCTCCATCTTAGGCATGAAAATTCAGCTGGGTGAATAGGCCGGTCACTCTTTATCAGCCCACCTCACAGGGTTGTTGTAGGGAAAACAATAGGAGGAGGGAGTATTAGGTATCTTCACCACCAAGTTGTATATAAAAAAAGGCAAAATAGAAACCTAAAATAAATAAATAAGCTAAATTTTATCTAGGTTTCTAAATATGATAAATCTGGATCCTGTTGCTACATTTCTTGGAGGGGGGAGAATATAAGGTGATTGATTGTGCCTATATTCTTCTGATATCCCTGCCGATCAGTCTGAGTTGCTCAGATGAATTAAAACTGATCCAGCTTCGTCACATGATCTAGATCAGCGGTAGGGAATCATGGGTCCATCTGTGACTGGTGGACTTCAACTTCCAGCATGGCTGGCTCAGGAATTCTGGGAGTTGAAGTCCACGAGTCATAAAGGGGCCCGTGGTTCTCCACCCATGATCTAGGGCATGTTTTCCTCCGTAGAAAGGTAGGGATTCTGACGGCTAAGTGGAAAATTGGTAACTTATGCCAATTAGAAAGAATTGCTAGTTTAAAACTTGGGAAAGTACAGACTATGCAGAAACTAACTGAATACATGTTTTAAAGAAAAAGTGGTGATAGTTATGGCCATCTTCTTCATAATAATTTTAAAAAACAACTTGAATTTATTTAGTATGCAAATAAAAATTGTGTCAAGTAGTGTAAAACTATAATAAATGGGGTATTTTTGGTAAATCTGTTCGTTAAAATTATAAATCTGAAAAATAAAACAGTGGCATTATGGGATATCCGGCACATATACTGTATAAAGCTGTCCTGTAACCCAAGCAGAGATCTTTGTCGAGCACGGTTTTTCTCTGCTCAGCCAGCCAAAGATCGGCAGTGCAAGCCACTTCGTGTTTTAGCCACGACCCTGCTTGAGAACCAAAGACATAGGGAAGCTGCCTACGTGTCTGCCACGCTGGTCTCTCGGTCACCTGTCGTGGGTGTGTTTGGTGGATGGCCACCACTGAGCCGGCTCGGATCTGCCCAGGTTAATTGAGCTGAAGCTACCAAAAGGGACGGGACCCGTTCAGGGCCACTTCCGGCTCCCTTCAGTTGGGGCTGCAAAGGATTTTCATGAATTGGGGCCTCTGATTCACCAGCAACTGAGAAAGTGTCATCTAGATTTTCTAAGTAGGCTCTAATGCTTTTTGTACCTTAAATATTGCTCTTCCTAATAATAATAATTTTGCTTCAGCAAAAAAGCAAGGTTAAGGGGAAGAATGACATCGTGAAGATCTTGGCTCAGTAAATCCGCATTGCCCTCACAAATTCAATAGAGCCATAATGGAGTACAAGGAATTGATTGTTCGCATTATGACAGCAGTCCTGCCAATAATGAGATTGCCTTGTTTTGAATAAAATGTGCTCTTTTCTGAGATGCTCGTTCCAGGAAAAAAGGGTTTTAGTGAAAAAAATTAATGGTGTCAGGAAAGTACTTTCTGTTTCCCCAGCTGTTATGGATTGATTTCCCTACGCATCCCTCCCGGAGTCTGTCAGGGGCCCAGGAGACGCAACTACAGATCAGCAGAGAAGCCCACAACTTTGCACCAGGACGACGTCTGAGGGCAAACGTGTCAGTCGGTCCACCGCACATGCCTGCTGTTATAAAACGGCCCCTCTCTTCTCTTACCGGCAGGCTCCATACGTGGAGGGCCTCGCGAATTGCACTTTGTACATGACTAGAACGGCAGATGGGGATGGTGCCGATGATGCTAATATATGACTCCTTATTATTTTGTTTTGTAGTTGGGTGACCATATTTATTTGCATTAGTGGCGAATATCTGTGACTCGGGTGTAGGATGAGGGTGAAGGTTCCTTCTCCGAGCTTGTGGTTTCGTTCCCAGGCTGGGCGTTTAGGGGATGTCGGTGTCGTGCTCTTCTCTTTATAAGGGCTTCAGGTGTGGGTGTGTCGAGTGAGGGCCTTGTGATGGGTCTTGTGATGGGCCAGGTGTGAGGCATCAGTGAGAGAGGCTTGTGATGGGGGAGGGGGTGTTACATCAGGTGGGGGTCATTGGGAGGTGAAGCGCTGGTTGGGGAGGGGGCTTGCGTGGGATGGTTGAGGGACATTGCTGCCTCTGGCTGGCTGTGCGGTTGATTCGGATCCTGAGGGCTTCGTGGGCTGGTTGTGGGTCGGCGTGTCTGTGGATGGAATTGCTGGTGGAGGGCCAGGCTTCCATGAAGTCACGAATGTGGCAGGTGGTAGCGTGGCCGATGTTTTTTGTGCTGCTCCAGTCAAACTGGTGCTGTTTGGTGTCGGTGTGGGTAGAGATGAAGGATTTGGGGTCGTGGTGTTTTATATTTCTTTATTTAACTAAATAAATGTATCAAGTGACTATGAATACAGATGAAAGAGGGCACTGGAAATAGGATGGGTGTAGAATAGATTTCCTTTCTCTTTTGCTTTCATTTCCTTTCTTTACTTTTCTCTTTTGCATAATACTATATTTCGAAAGGAATAATGAGTATGCTATGCTATATAATCTCGCCTGCATGAAGTTGAGTCATCCTGGTGGGCATCAGTCACTTGTCGACTCACCTCTGGATAAGCTTCATTGTAGAGTTTGCCAATCAGTGTCACCATGACACACAGGGCTCCAGGACACACCATCATCGAGTCCTCACCTCGTGGCCTTCAGAGAAAAGACAAGAGGACTCCTATTGCATTTTTGTAAACTTGTACACATTAAGACAAAAGAGTAGGAACCAGGTCACAGTCCTTCTCGTCCGTTCCTGCATAAAAACAGGAAAGCAAATGCTTCTGCCATCCGGGAGGGGAGGAGAATCTGCAACCTCCTTGGTGGCCCTCCCAGCCGGCCTGGGGAAGCTGAAGCTCCCCCCTGGAGTCCCATCGAGCACTTCCTATCCGGAGAGAAAGGGAAGGACCAGGCCTTGTGCTTCAGATCTTCCTTCCCGAGGCAGAAAAAAAACAGATCTAATCCTGTAGGGTTCTGTAAAGGTTAGCTTGCACTTCGTTGTGCCTTGAGTAGAAGGAGTTATTTCCTCCAGGTTACCAAAGGCGGCGTTCTGATTTGTGATCTCAGTTTTTCCAACATTTTGAGAAGTATCTGCTTATTTGGAACTGCCTTTTAAACAAAATTAATGAGTGGAAACTTTAATTGCCTCTTCTTTTCATAATTTTATGAATGAACTATGGCTCCTCCCAAGAGCAACAAAGAGGATCAGGGGACTGGAGGCTAAAACATACAAAGAAAGGTTGATGGAATTGGGAATATCCAGTTTAATGAAGAGAAGGACGAGGGGGGACATGATAGCAGCCTTCCAATGTCTCAGGGGCTGCCCCAAAGAAGAATTGGGGGTCAAGCTATTCTCCAAAGTGCCTGAAGGCAGGACAAGAAGCAATGGATAGAGAGAAGCAACCTTAGAACTAACTTTCTGACAGTTAGAACAATTAATCAGTGGAACAACCTGCCTCCAGAAGCTGTGAATGCTCCAACACTGGAAGTTTTTAAGAAGAGACTGGACAGCCATTTGTCCGAAATGGTATAGGGTTTCCTACCTGAGCAGTGGGTTGGATTAGATGACCTCCAAGGTCCCTTCCAACTTTATTATTATTATTATTATTATTATTATTATTATTATTATTATTATTATTATTATTACTACTACTACTACTACTACTACTACTACTACTACTACTACTACTACTACTACTACTACTACTATAGAAAAACAGCAAAGAGAAAAAGGAACATTCCTGTTTGGCGTCTCTTGTTATGGTAAATTGTTGTGAATTAAAATTGTTGGTCTTTATTTGATCTATTATGGGCTGCTAAATATTGGCTATCATACTTTGCAATTTAGAGCCAACTTTAAATATCTATAATTTTGTTAATGAATAGTCCATTTACGCAATCAAAGACTTCCCATATATCTAGATAACATATGCAGCTGAATCTCTTTTGTAGAAATGGAATATAATGAACAGGGTGTAAAAGGGGGGAGACTTCCAGAAAAGACTGCACAGTCTGGAGACTGAATCATGCACAAGAAAGAAGCTAAGAATAATCCCATCTTAATTAGTAGAAACTTGGACGGGCTTCCAGGAATAATTTT